TCTATCTTTCACATTCCAATCACCAGTAATTATCAGTACATCTCAATTGCACGCTTAGTGTCAATTTCAGATAGCAGAAATTGGTAAAAATCCTCTGTTTCCTCGTCTTTGGCTTTAGTGGTTGGTGCATAAATTGTCGTATTAGCCAGTCTTCCTTGTAGGCATATGGATATTACCCTATCACTGACAACGTTGTACTTTAGGACAGATCTTGAAACCTTCTTTGTGGTGATGATTGCCCTGCCATCCTCTTCAATTTGTCATTCCTGGTGTAGTATTTAAGGTTATGTGTCAGCTTGGCTGGGCCTGGTTGAGTGGCTGGGCAGCTGGATGTAGTTACTCCTCATGATGAGACTGGTCATCAACTCCACGGTGGGATCTACGGGAGCAGCTGAGGAGCTGCCTTAGGGAGGTGGGCTGCTTCCGTATAAAAGGAGAAGCTTTGAGAAAGGTCTTGAGCTTTTTGGCACATCTGGATCCTGCATTTGGCTGAGTCTTCATCTCAGTGGCCTGCCATGTTGTCTGCTGAGCTGGACACTGTTTCTGGACTTGAACTAGTGGCCTGCTGTATTGCTTGATAATCTTGGGACTGTGCCATTTTACCTGTAGACCCTGGGTTTGTCAGTCTCAGCAGCCAGCAGCTGCCTGAGTTAAGAGAAGCCTCCAGCTTCAGTGGGCTGGAATTAGGAGGCAGAACTGAAGCCCAAGGTCAAGGGGCTTTCACCCAGCCCCTACAGCTGACACTTTAAACTTGACTTGTAGCCTCCTAAACTATAAGAGAATAAAACCCGTTTGTCAAAGCCATCTGCTCGTGGTATTTTCTGTTAGAGCGGCACTAGGAACCAAAACACCCCGCATAGCAGATCACATGGTTGTTGATTCAAAATGGCCAAAACCAGTCCATTTCAGCTCACTGATGCCTAGCATATTGATCTTCATGCATTCCATTTCCTTTTTAACAACTTCCAGTTTTTCTAGATTCATACCTCGTACATTCCATGTTCCGATGATTAATGGATGTCTGCGGCTGTTTCTCTTCAATTTGAGTTGTGCGCCATCAACAATGAAGGCCCTGAAAGCTTCATCCACGTCATTAAGGTCGACTCTCCTTTGAGGAGGCAGCTCTTCCCTAGTCGTGTTTTGAGTGCCTTCCAACTTGAGGGGCTCACCTTCTGGCACTATATCAGACAATGCTTTAGGGTATTCATGAAGTTTTCCAGTAATGTATCAGACAGTGTTTCACCACTATTCATAAGGTTTCCACCAGCCAATACTTTGAGAAATGGATGGCCCCTTCCTTCTTCCCAGCCTGTCTTAGTCTGGAAGCTCTGCGGAAACCTGTCCACCAGGGGTGACCCAGCTCATATTCAAAATACAGGTGGCATAGCCTCCAGCCTCACAGCAACACGCAAGTCACCACAGTATCAAACTAACAGGCGAGTGGTGGGCGTATGTCCATAAGTACGGACGATGTGTACACACACGTGTGCACACATGGCAGCTGTTTGTCAGCCTGTTGAGTGTGCAGGGGAAGGACTTGGGGGAGCTGAGGGGATGTGTGTGCAGCTCTCTCCGAGGCTGAGTCTTCTCTTTGGTCCATGGAGGAGTGATGATGCTGTGTCCACAAGTGTGTGTGTGGTAGGGGCAGGGCTCTCTCTTCCTGCCACATGGCACCAGGCCCCTGTTTCCCTCTCCTGAACCTTTCATTACGGAACACGCTTTCTCTGCCTCCACCAGCCCTGGTACTGAGCCCCAGCTCATCCAATGTGTTTGAGTTAGGGTCTGTTTACATGGGGAGCTTTGTCATGGGGGCGTAGAACAATTCTGTTTTTCTCTCAAAAGGTTTCAGCATGACACCTTACCCCCCAACTATGCCCTCCTTTTGGGGCCAAGATCTTACCTCCTAGAGGCATTATGATCTGTGCAGTGCCCTAAATTTTCACTTGGCCATGAGCCAGGACAGATGGCAGCTCTTTGGCCCTGGGGAGGGCTCCCGCTGCCCACCGGGCTGTTAGGGCCATGCAGTCTTTGCTCCAGCTGGCAAGAGACATTGTTGTGGGAACAGGCCTCTACTGACCTCCTCGCCCTCCCGGGATCTGAGGGGACCTGGCAAATTTGGGGGCCCAAGGCAGCCGTGGGCTCTGGTGACAAGGTCAGGTCCCTGAAGGGAGCTGTCTGGAGCAGCATCCAGGCCTTGTCTGCTAGGTAGGCAGCCTTGGCCCCCTTCCACAGCAGGGGTGGCAGGAAGACCTTGGTGGGCAGGGGCTGTACTCATTGGGAGGGAGATGTTCCTCACTCTCCCCACCTACTTCGGGGTGAGTGCTTCCACCTGGGGCCAGCTAGGGTCTGGCTGGAATTCTGGGAGCTGCATCTGGCAAACAAGTGGACAAGGGGTGAGTTCCTTTCTGCCAACAGATGGCCTGGAGGCCTTGGGAGCTTTGTCTTCTCTGGGGCTCTGTCTAACCCTAACCCTCCTGGTGTCCTTTCCCCTTATTCTTCCAGTCAGTGGAATTCGAAAGAGGCAAAAAGCATTGTCTCCTTTCCCCTAGCCCCAATCTTAGGGTCACCTACTGGTGACCTTCCCTCTGGGGTGTGACAGGAAGTTGGGTGAGTTGACTGAGCCTGTGGAGGGGACTTGTTGGCTCCCAGGACCAGAGCAGGCACGAGATGCCAAGACCTTAGTGGTGCTGGTGCTACCACCTCTCATTTCCCCGTCTCTTGGCATCTGCTGGGCTACCAGCCCCTAGGGCAGGGGTCTAGTTCCCACTCGCCCCAGTCTAGACCAGCACCCAGCAGAGAAGGATACTCATCTGGTATCTGCTGGATGGATAGATCGAAGGAAGGATGATGGATGAGTGGATGGGTAGCATAGATTGATGGGTATGGTGGGTGTATGGATGGATGAATTGGTGAGTGGATGGATAGATGAGTGGGTGGGTAGATGAATAGAAGGAAGGATGATGGATGGGTGGATGAATGGATGGTTGCATGGGTAGATGAGTAGATGGTTGGATGGGTGCATGGATAGATGATTGGATGGATGGATGGATGGATGGATGAATGGATAGTGGCCAGATTCTCTTCCCCTGAATACAGGCTTCTCCACAGCTCAAGGAGCCCTCCAGTATCTCCCAGGTTACTTGTAAGGTGGCCAGAGTTGTTGTTGTTATGTGTCGTCGAGTTGGACCCGACTCATAGCACCCCCTCATTGGGTTTCTGAGGCGGTATCACTACGAAAGTAGATTGCCCAGCCTTCCTTCCGAGGAGTGGCTGGTGGATGTGAACCACCAGCCTTCTGGTTAGCAGTCAAGTGCCTTAGGCACTACGCTACCAGAGCTTCTAGGTGGCCAGAGAGCAGAGACTATTCTCCTCTCAGCTCTTGTGTAAAAAGTCACAGGGAAGTATTCTCATTGGCCCTGTCTGGTCATATGTCTATTCCTTTAGCCAATCACTGGGTTCAGGACACTGAGCACTATGAGTAGCCCAATCAGGCCACCCTGAAGATGTGAGGGCACCACAGTCATTGCTCTGGAAAGTCTTGGGAGATTGGACAGCCCCTTTGTGGAGCTGTTCAGCCCCTTTGAGGTTTCCTTGTCCCACCTCAAGGCTTGGACCATCATCTCCAGGCTAATTAGGAGAAGCAGGCCCTCCTGAGCAGGAGACGGGCAGCCCATGACCAGAGCAGCAAATACCCCCACAGCCAAGGAAATGTGACTCTCGGCCAAGGCCACTGCATGGGGAGGGAGTGGAATGTCAGACTGGAGACCACAGGTTTGATTAGGAAGCAAATTGCGAGAAAAAAAACGAGAATGCAGGAAATGGCAAATGGTTGGTAATGTTCCATCAATGACTTCATTCAAGTTCAGGAGATGTTACTGTATCACTGGGCACCTTCATTTAGTGGCTTGCTTTCATATTTTAGTTTTAAAGATAAAACATGCTCTAGAGTGACTTTCTGGCCCGGGGGCCCCTTAACTGTGGGTCCTCCCAGGATGGGTATTCAAGGACCTGGCTTCTGGGCCTGAGGCAGCATATCTCATTACCTCACAGAGGCTGTCCTCTCTGATGACACAGACCTCGCAGCCACAGGTCACCTTCCCAGAGGGAACCAGCCCCCCCTCCCCCCAGGTGGAATGCTAAGGGAGTTAGGACAGGTGGGCCGAGGGGACGGGCTGGATAAATTCTTGTTGAAAACTGACAGAAGAGCCCTCTAAAGCTCGGGGTGAGGAGGAGCCCGGGGTGAGGAGTGGTGCCAGTGGTGACCCCCAGCAAGCTAGCAAGAGGCCCTAGAACAACCCCACACCTGAGGCTTCTGCCTCCCTGCCTGTGGGAGGGAGTGATGAAAGGGAGGGGCGGGGTGATGGAGGGGCGGGGCGGTGTATGGGGCGGTGCGATGGGCAGCAGGGGCGGGATGATGGACAGGAAGGGCAGTACAATGGAGGGGTGGCCCATAGAGGGGCGGTGTGGGGTCAGGGCCAGCGGAGAGGTATGGCCAGTGAGGGGAGAGGCTGTTCGGAGAGGATGAGCCGATTGGAGGGGTGGCCAGTGGGGACAGAGCCTCAGGGGCCAGCTGGTGAAGGGACGGGCCTTTTGTAATGGGTGGATAGAGGGATGGGGCCACAAGGGTGGGGCTGAATGTGGGTTGAGCCCGTGGAGAAAGGGGCCCCCTGAAGGAGGGGACCTATGTGGGTCGGACAGGTGGGGCTGGCAGACAGGGCAGGCCTGTGCCGGGTGAGGCGTGTGGGGTGGGGTGGGGGCGGGGCCAGGGAGTGGGCTGGTGGAGGGGGGGGGCCTGCTGAGGGCGTGGTCCTCGAGAGAAGCCAGGCTCTTAGAGATTGGCGCAGGCCCAGTAGCGGTGGGGCCCGCACGGGGGCGGGGCCTGTGGGGGCGAGGCCTGGGGGCGGGCTGGAGGAGAGGCGTGGCCTGCCCTGTGGGGTGGGGGAGGGGTGCGGCCGGAGGGGCAGGCTTGGTGACCTGTGGCCTCCCTGTCTCCCTTGCAGAGGTCCGATCCGCAGCTGCTGGCCCAGTTCTACTACGCTGACGAGGAGCTGAATCAGGTGGCAGCAGAGCTGGACAGCCTGGACGGGCGCAAGGACCCGCAGAGGTGCACGCTGCTGGTCAGCCAGTTCCGCTCCTGCCAGGTGAGGGGCCTCGGCGGGGTCCCGGGCAGGAGGCGGTCCACCTGGCATCGCAGGGGTTGGGACTTCCCCACCCACACAGCGAGAGAGCTGAGTGTCTTGGGGCAGTGGGCATGCTGGAGAGTGGGGTGCCTCTCTGGGCACCTCTGGGCGAGGCCAGAGGAAAGCATGCCTAAGGCACAGGCAAGAAACAGCTGTCCTGACTAAGTATTGTATCCTGAGTTCTTCCTGAACCTGAATTGTGATGTTACTTCCTTAATAAACCCCATAATCGTGAGTATTGTGGTGAGTGCCATGGGGCCACTGCAGTGTATTCTGGAACCCAGCAGAGAACAGCACTGTTGCAGGGGACAGTTTGTGTCCGAATTGGTAGAAGGGTTGGAGGATGGCGGCCTGTCTGACTTCATCTTAGGAATTAGCCTTGGGCTGGTGATGCTGATGGCAGTCCTCTCCTCCTGGCCAAGTTAGAGGAGGTTGGAAAACTGAAGCCCCTCTTCCCTTTTTGTAAGCACTTACTGGTGAGATCAAAGCTGCAGTCTTCAGTGTGGATTATACCGCAACAGAAAGGAAACAAAAATCCTCGCAACTGGACCGATATGCAGCATCACGATAAGCAGAGGAAAGATTGAAGGTGTCAGGGATTTCATTTGACTTGGATCCACAATCAGTGCCTTTGGCAGCACCAGTCAAGAAACCAAAGGACATACATGGTGCATTGGGAATAGCTGCTGCAGAAGGTCTCTCTTTTTTTCTAGTTTATTTTTATTAATTTTTTTAAAAAAATATTTGCAGTGTTTCCTCCCCTCCCCTCCCACCCCTGGTAACCTACAAAGAAAGTTTCCTTCCATATCTAAACCTTTCATTTACTTTTTACAATAACGGACTAATACAATATTTGCTCTTCTGTGATTGACTTACTTCACTCAGCATAATGTCCTCCAAGTTCATCCACGTAATGCGGTGTTTTGCAGATTCTACAGTATTCCATTGTGTGTGTGTACCACAATTTGGTTATCCATTTCTCTATTGATGGGCACTTAGGTTGTTTCCATCTCTTTGCTATTGTGAATAGTGCTGTGATGAACATGGGCGTGCATATCTGTTCTTGTCCTGGCTCTTACTTCTTTAGGATATATACCTAGTAATGGGATTGCTGGGTCAAATGCTATTTCTTTTTCCAACTTTTTAAGGAGTGACCGTACCGATTTCCACAATGGTCGTACCATTTGACAGTACCATCAGCAGTGTATGAGAGTCCCAATCTCTCCACAACCTCGCCAGCATTTGTTATTTTCTGTCTTGTTGAACTTTGCCATTAGTGCTGGGGTGAGATGGTACCTCATGGTTGTTTTGATTTGCATCTCTCTGAAGGCTAATGATTGTGAACATTTTTTCACGTGTTTGTTGGCTGCCTGGATATCTTCTTTGGTGAAGTGTCTGTTCATGTCTTCTGTCCATTTTTTGAAATTGGATTGTCTTTTTGATGTTGAGGTGTTGGACTTTTCTACAAAGTTTAGAGATCAGTCCCTTGTCAGATACGTCATTGACAAGTTTTTCCCTTTCTGTAGGCACTCTTTTTACTCTCTTGGAGGATTCTTTGATGCACATAAGAATTTAATTTTTAGAAGGTCCTAGTTATGTAGTTTATCTTTTGCTGTTTGTGCATTTTGGGTGGTGGTTGATAGTCTATTAATGCCATATATTAGGGCCCCTAAAGGACTTGACTGCTAACCAGAAGGCTGGCGATTCAAACCCACCAGCCACTCCTCGCAAGGAAGGTTAGGCAATCTACTTCCATAGTGATACCACCTAGGAAACCCAAGGAGGGGTCGCTATGAGTTGAATCATCTCAGTGGCAGTGAGTTTGTTTTTTTGGTTTAAGTTTGGTCCTAAGGAGCTCTGGTGGTGTAGTGGTGCGGTGTAGTAAATTACTTAGTGTGGCTTTTCTACCCATAAGTCTTTGTAAAGTCCAGGGTAGGATTTGTTATGAGCAACTGAGGAGCTCCTGATTGCTGAAGGTGTCCACCTGGCGTATTTCTGTTGGGAGTGGCACAAAACAATGTTCTGGGAGGTGCCCACTCTCTCTCAGGTGCTTAGAGTCCTGATGCTATAATTGGCTAGTTTGACCACCCTGCCGGGCTCAAAAGGAGGCCTCTTAGAGGCAGAACTCTCTCGGACTGCTGGTTGAGGAAGACGTGCTGCTGAAAGAGACACGCACCCCGGAAAGAGACATGTGCTGCTGGGAAAGAGGCGCAAGAGACACGCATCGCTGAGTGAGACACCGAGGGACCAGCACTGCTGGGAAAGAGACTGTGAGAGACTGTTGGCTGAGGGATGGTGGGCTGGGAGAGAAACTGTTTTTCCTGAGCTTGAATTGTAGCCTGGTGCTTCCCTAATAAACTCCATAATCTGTGAGTTCTGTGTGGCCACTGCAGTGAATTCTCGAACCCAGGAGAGAGGTGGTGGTGCTTTGGGAGGAACGGTTGGAGGAAGGGCTGGAGGGAGGCAGCATGTCTGGCCTTGTAGGAATAGGCCTTGGGTTACTGCTGGTAATCCTGTCTTCCTCTTGTAGGGTTAGAGGAGGTTGGAACATGTGGCCTCCTTGCCATTTTTGCAAATGGATAAGGCATGTGGCTGCTAACCAGAAGGTCAGTGGTTCAAATCCACCAGCTGCTTCATGGAAGGAAGATGGGGCAATCTATTTCCACAAAGATTTATAGCCTCAGAAACCCAATGGGAGCTGTTCTGAGTGGGAGACTATTTCTTCCTCATTTAACAGGTTTTGGCCCTTTGTCAAAGAGTAGCTGACCACAGGTGGGTGCGTCTATTCCTGGGTTCGCAGTTCTGTTCCCTGGTCTGTGTGGCTCTCATTGTACCAACACCAGGCTGTTTTGACTAGTGTGGGTGCGTAGTAGATTTCGCGATCCCGTAGTGCTTTGTAGTCCTTTAGTTGTGTTTTGCTTATCTGAGGGCTCTTTCCTTTCCATATGAAATTAGTGATTGGTTTTTCTGTCCTTAAAGAATCTTCTGACATCCTTATTAGTCTTTTGTCCCTTTCCTGTCTTTTTTAATGACCTTGTTCTTTCTTCATGTATGATGCCCTTGATGTCTTCCCATAACTCATTTGGTCTTTGGTCATGGGTGTTTGGTGCTACAAATCTGTTCTTCAGATGATCTTTAAATTCAGGTGGGATAGACCCAAGGTCATATTTTGGCGCTTGTGGACTTGCTTTAATGTTCTTCAGCTTCACCTTGAACTTGCATTTGAGCAGTTGATGGTCTGCTCCACATTTGACCCCTGGCCTTGTTCTGACTGATGCTATTGAGCTTCTCCATCGTCTCTTTCCACAGATACAGTTGACTTGATTCCCGTATATTCCATCAGGTGAATCCATGTGTACAGTTGCCGCTTATATTGTTGAAAAGAGATATTTGCAATGAATATGTCGTTAGCCTCGCAAAATTTTATCACATGATTTCTGGTGCCCTTTCTGTCACCAGAGCCAAAGTCGCCAAGTACCTTCTTCTTTCCCAGTTGTCACATTCCAGTCACTGGTAATCATCATGCATCTTGATCTTGTGTTTGATCAGTTTCAGACTGCAGAAGTTGGTAACAAATCTTCAGTTTCTTCGTCTTTGGACGTGTTTTTCACGTATCTTTTAGGAAACACAATCTAGTCCATGAGGCTATCTTGTCAGTCTGTATGGAGAAACAAGACGTGGGAAAAGGGGACAGCTTTGAGCAGAGAGGGTGGGGTCACAAGGCAGGTCTGAAGTCACCAGTGGTGCGGGATACCTGGATACCCGTGGGAAGTCGAAGGTGGAGGGAGCTGGGGTGACAAGAAGCTGTGGGCCCTGGGAGCCGCTGGGTAGGAAGGGCCAGCCTGCCGAGAAGTGCTTTGTCGGTGACAGCGGGAGCGCCGCGCGGCCAGCCTTCCTGTCCTGCTGCTGACTCATTGCTCCCCAGCCTCTGCTGCGTAATTCACCCGTGGCCCTGGAGATGCTGCTAAAAATACCCTCAGCTGACAACATTTTCCTCCCAGTTTACAAAGTGTTCACTACACTGCTAGCATGGCAGCATCTGGTGCATATTCCTGTCAAGTGACGATCACAGTCTTCCACAAAACGCCGGCTTGTTCAGGGTGTACTCTCCCCATGAGGTCTTGCTGGGCCCTCGCCACTCCACGAGGAAGGGGCTGGGCGTGCCCCTCTGATGTGTGGAGGGCAGCCTGGCACGGCCAGCACTCGGCTCCTGCCTCAGCCACCCACTGAGAAGAAGCCGGGCTCCACCACAGGCCAGCACCTGCTCCAAACCGGGCCCTGCCTCCTGTGCCCGGAGGCAGCCCCCCAAGTGCAGCTCTGGTGGGACCCACGTTGAGCACGCCCAGGTCCGGAGGGCTTGTCTGGCCAGCTTGGGCTCTGGGTTTGTCTTTTCTTTTGGGCCCTCAGGCTCCGAGCATTCAGTGAAGCCAGTGTGTCTTGAGAGGTTTGGACCAAAGGTCTTGGGCTTTTTCTGAAACAGGCCTCTCTGGGCCCAAGAGAAGTCCCAGGAGTTCAAGTTTGCTGAGCTTCCTGCCCAGGGTGGCAGGT